CGGTCGCTATGAACTGACTCGTAGAAAAAAACAAAAAAACAAATGGCTGGCATGCAGAAATGAATTCCTACGATCTGAAGTGTGTGTGTGTGTGTGTGTGTATGTGTGTGTGTGTGTGTGTGTTTTTCTTTGAATGCTTATTCAGTTTAGCATTTTGAAGGAAGAGTCTAAAGACTCTAAACTTCTTAAGTTTTTTTCTTTGTAACTGTCTGCGTCATTAATACTCAGTATGCACAAGCGAGGGAACGGTGTTGCCTTTTTAAGTTATAAGTTATAACCTGCCAAGCTCCCCCTAAATGCTGTTCGTTTTTCTTTGCTATCAATGCTATGTCCATAAGCGAACGGTTTTGTATATGAAATACAGCCTTCGAGTGACTGCCCCCATACTCTCTTTCTTTTTTTCCCTTTTATTATGCCGGGGGTGCGCGCGCACGTGTGTGTGTGTGTGTGTGTGTGTGTGTGTGTGTGTGTGTGTGTGTGTGTGTGTGTGTGTGTGTGTGTGNAGGGGGAGGAGGAGAAAGATAAAAACTAAAACATGTAGGTCGTATTTAAATATGATGTATTTTGTTCTATCCCCTTCTCTTTAGGGATGTTCTCCCGTTGCGAAGGCTTGGCATGCCAACAGCTGTCCCAAGGACTTGGCGAGTTTTTCTGACGTGTCTGTAGCGTGGGCTGTGCTGTCACGTTGGTTGTGTAACAGTGATTGTTTTCCTTGTGCAGTTTTTCTGACGTGTATGTATAGCGGTCATGCAAACAGTTGGCCCCAGGACTAGGCGTGCAAACAATTGTCCCTTCTGTCACCTGTGATTAGTGGATTACAATCCTTATGCTAACTTATCACCAGCAGGTGTAAATACTAATAGTATATACTAAATATATTTGAGAATGCTGCGCTTCGTTTGACGATCTGTAGTCAGAGCTGTGACGGGGTAGGAGGGGTAAATTACTAGATGTGTATAGAGGTAGGAGTAGAAGCAGATATCAGAGCTAACCTAGCACCATCCGTGGTGAAACTACGTGTGGAGCCTATAATCAGAGGTAAACTCTCACAGGCATTGGTAAATAGGCGCAGCTGTAAAAGCCTCCTGTAATAATCAGAGATAAGCGAGCACCAGTAGGGGTAAATGTGAAAGTAAGAGGCCATAGTCAGAGCTAAGCTATCACCAGCGGGGATAAGTATTTTTTACTATTTTAGCTTTGGAAGCCTGGAGTTAGAGCCAGTAGGGGTAAATACATGCTGTGGCAAGTAGGGGTAAATAGTAAATAGTAAATACAGAACAATGAAAGGCTGCAATCGGAGCTATGTATAACCAGCAGGGGTAAATGTGTGGGTGTAACAGTGAAAGCCTGCAGTCAGAGCTAAGCTATCACCAGCAACCTGGCAGCAGGGGTAAATACTAAATACATACTATTGCCAGCAGGGGTGAATACTAAATACATAGCATGATAGCAGTAAAAAGCGGCAATTGGCGCTATGAGCAGGGGTAAATAGTAAATACGTAACAGTAAGAGACTGAACAGCCTGGCACCAGGGGTAAATACTAAATACATAGCATGATAGCAGTAAATGGCTGCAATCGGAGCTATGAGCAGGAGTAAATACTAATAGTAAATAGTAAATACATAACAGTAAAAGGCAGTAAGGGGAGCTACGTATCACCAGCAGGGGTGAATGTGTGGGTGTAAAAGTGCAAGCCTGCCGTCAGACCTAAGCTATCAGCCGCAGACGTGACAATGTAGCTGCAATCAGAGTTAAGCTATCACCACCAGGGGTAAATACTAAATAAAAGTAGCGAAGGGCCCTGCTGTATCCAAAATAATGCATTGGGTGGATGCCATGGCACTGAGAAAGAAAGGACGCAACTAGCAGCAAAAGGATGTAATCAGAACAAATGTATCACTAGGTGGGGTAAATGTGTACCTGTGAAAGTAAGTACTAAGTACACGCATGCCGTCAGAGCTCAGCTTCACCGGCAGGGGTATAATCAGAGCTATGCGATTACCATTACGAGCAGTAGTACGTATTTACTATTTACTATTTACTATTTAGTATTTAGTATTTACTGTTTACTATTTTACTATTTACTATTTTCTATTTACTATTTACTATTTAGTATTTACTATTTGCTATGTAGCCTTGTGTACCTGTGAAAGTAAGTACTAAGTACACGCATGCCGTCAGAGCTCAGCTTCACTGGCAGGGGTATAATCAGAGCTATGCAATTACCATTACCAGCAGTAGTACGTAGGTACTATTTACTATTTACTATTTACTATTTAGTATTTATTTTTACTATTTAGTATTTACCTAGGCTACCAGAGTGGCCCGGCGTCACTTGCCCGGCCGGGCCAAAAATAATAATAATAATTTATTTTTATTTTTTTTTTTCAATTTGGTAAAGAATTTCGAGTGACCCTGAGGCAAAAGTTGTTCAGTTGATTTTTCTGCATAACATAGTTTTTTTTCGGATTTTTTCGAGTTTTTTTTTTTTTTTTTTTTTTTGCTGGGACCCTCCCTGGTCCTTGCACGGGATGGCCAGCCGGGACCGGGCGGCCCGTTGGTAGTCTAGGTTACTATCTACTATTTACTATGTACTATTTAGTATTTAGTATTTACTATTTTACTATTTTCTATTTACTATTTTCTATTTACTATTTACTATTTTCTATTTACTATTTAGTATTTACTATTTGCTATTTAGCCAATACAACCTGGAGTTAATGTCGTCACAACTAACCCATTAACCAGAACTCAGTATTTGATTCGATCCGTGCGTAGTACTGCGTTCTCACACCAGGACTTTCCTCGATGAGTCTCACTGCAACTCTGGTGCGTACTGAATGCATCTGACTGCAATTACGCCCACGCACAGATCTGTCGAACAATTCCTAATGTGGTGACTATGCCCTTAGAGCTGACCTGAGTTAATAGCTGACTGGGTGTGTTAGATTACTGTAATCTGCATTTTGCCTGTAATAACCGACTGGCCATGTTAGCTGTAATCTAAGTTTTTCCGCTAATAGCCGACTGGCCTGGCTGTGTTTAGCTGTGTAATACGTATACGGGAGGTAATCGCCAATTTCTAATTAGACTGACCACAGAAGTATAAAGAAAGCTAATCGCTAACAATCTGATCACCACCGCCAAAGAAAGGTAATCGCTAACAACCTGATCATCGCCGCAGCCACGATAGCGGAGAACTACCGTCTTCACCCGAATAGAATGGCCGGTCGTTATAGCTGAATTTGCCACAACTTTCTGTCCAGATGCAGCGATAATGACAGGGCGTTTTATTTGGGTGAATACGGTAGCGAACTGATGACAGCGAGAATTGCCGAGACCTCTGTTCGTGTAGTTTGATAAGGACCGCAATCATTATCTGAGAGGGAGTGGCTTCAAACCAGGAGTATTTTGCCCAGCCATTTTTCTCCGATGAGGCAGTTATTGCGCCACATTTTTTGCGGGTCGGCCTATCGGGGCAAAATGGCTGGTGGCGCCCGCCGAAAGGAGGCGGCCTGCACTGGCTCGTGTGTCTTGTGCGCCCGGGGCATTTCCAGGCCCTGCAAGGGAAAGGTTAACAGTGATGGCGGTTTGAGCGATGCAAGTAGAAAGGTAAACATCAGTGTGAGAGCGTTCTTCTCTTCTTGGTCGTGTGCTCAATCTTGTATTGTTTATCAAACTTTCTTTTCCCTTGGGATGGGTGTCCTTCTCTTCTTGTCTTTACTAGCAGCACCACTTGATTGTCGCCAGTCGTGAGTGTTACGTTAACTTTTTATGGCTTCTCTGGGTGTGCATTTGATCCCATGTATGACTGCGAGACTGTCTGCCTGTGGTCCTCGTTACCTTCACCGCGTTGGGATAGCCTGGTTTTCGCATTCTCTGAATGCCAACAAGCATCAGTCATCGTCTGCGTAACATCATCCCCTTAGTCATCATTGTATTATCATCGTCATTATTCTCATTGTCGTGCGGTCGTCCTCTCCATGAGCTATAACCTTTCGTGGATGTGCATCCATTGGCGCCACCCATCTAGCCTCAATTTTCCTCCATGTGGTGATTGTGTGTGCCACCACTGTTGTCATTTATCATCATCACCGTCGTCTCACGCTTGTTGTCGGTCGTTGCGACAGCGTCATCATCGTCGCTGACTTCATCGTTTTTACTGTTACCTTCGTCATCATCATCGTCAATGCTTCATCATCATCGTAATCACTCGACGATCGTCAGGAACGTCATCATTCTCGAAGTCGTTGTTGTTGATGCTGGTGCTGTTCTTGCCACGAGCGTTAGCATGACATGTATGTAATCATCATCATCATCATCATCATCATCATGCCGTCTATATCCCAATGACGATTGTTGTCGTAATCGTGTTGTGGACCATTGTCGTTGTGGTGATACCGTCACCACCGCTGTTATCAATCATCGTCATCGTCGTCATCGTCGCTGGTGTCAATCATCGTCATCATTGCTAGTGTCATTATGGGTCCCACCGCGGTTCCCGCCATCATCGTCATCGTCGCTAGTGTCAATCGTCGTGGCAGTTGTCATTATGGGTCCCAGCGCTGTTATCAATGCTTGAACGTGGTTTTGTATACGTAACGGCCGTCACCGATGCACATGTTTGCAACCTTGTTCCCGTCACCGTCATCATCAACATTGTCTACCACCACCATAACCATCATCATCAAATTTCTGCTTCTTGTTGTCGATGTTGGTGTTGGTGTTCGTGTTGTTGTTGGTGGTGTTGGTGTTGTAATCACCGGTGCCAGCTGCTGTTATTATCTACGTAATGCGTAATGACCGTCGTTACCCCGATCATCATCATCGTCTGTGTGTGTTTGTGTGTGTTGTGAGCACTGTGTGCCAGCTATTATCGTCTACATACTGAGCATTATCCCGTTGATCTCCCTCCCTCATGGAACATGAATGCCTCTTACCATCGTCGATATGTCAACTGAATGAATAATGGTGTGATCGGATTTGACTTGGGCTTCAGTGGAGCAGCAGCACATGAAGCGGACTTGAGTGGGAAGACGCCTTTTCAGAGTGCGGTTGAGCTTGGGGCGATTAAGGACGAAGACCTGTTTGTGCTGCTGTCGGAACCACCTCCATAAGATAAGGTTATCGTTCCGGTCTGTCTATCTGTTAGGCTCTTCTTGCGCAAGCGGAGTGTCTGTGTGTCCGGAAGGGGACGATTGCGATTCCTGGAGTGTCCTTTTGAGGGTGGAGATCTCTTGTTAGGTGTGTTTTTTGGGGCGTAGATTGGGCCAGCGACTGGGTCGGCGGCCACACCTTAGCAGTGCTCTCGATAGAGTGTCTACACTTCTGAATCGCTCCAATTGGGCACACAGCCATCTTTCTCCCACCCCTCCTCCTCCCTCCTAGACCAATCTCTGTACTCATTCATTGTACTATCTCCTCTTCCACCTCCCTTGCTTTGTCATCTCCACTCTCCTCTCTCCCTGTCCTTCCCTGTGTTTCCCTCCTTTTCTCCATCTCCCCTTCTCTCCCCTTCTCTGTCCTCCCTTAAATATCCACCTTTCTATCCTTCACCATAAGCCCCCTCCCGCCCTCTCCCCCCCCCTCCTCTCCCTTATCTCCCCCTGAATTATCATCTGGAGGGGCGTTTGCTGATGATGTCTTGATGTCTAAGCGTTGCGGACATCACATACTGTTTTATGATCTTTTAGGAAGAAAATAATTGGGAGAATAGCTCATTGGTTGTCTTGGAACGTTTGGAATCTGAGCTTCTGAATCTTTAAGCAAGTGCAGAGCGAGCGAGAGAGAGAGAGAGAGAGAGAGAGAGAGAGAGAGAGAGAGAGAGTCGGTTTACATTGGCTGTATATGACCTTATTGATTTACGGCTAAATGCAAACAGTTTGTGGCTGTATGGCCTCCCATGCCTTATGTTCCAGTCCATCGCTGACCAACGGTTGGATCCGACGGCAGCAGTGATCAGGTCGTCGTCTGCCGTCCATTCGCTGGGACGTGTTGTTGTTTTTTTGCGTCAAAACTCTCTTTCCGACGAGTCTCCGCACATGTTCATGTGACAGGGTCGGAGCTCGGGGCCTTGATTTTGTTTTCTGTTCTTCGTTTGCTTAAGGCTCAAGGCGTTCGGGAGTACATCCATCTCCATTTTTGATTGCATGAGCTTTCATGGCCAATTTCATATAAATTCTGTGAAGGCTGTAATACCTATTTCTTCATCAATTGGCGGTCGGTGTCTGCAACATCCTTCTTGTTATGTTACGGTGACAGGAAGTGGGTCGGTTTGCGATCGGCAATGCAATGCCGGGTCGGTTTGCGTTCTTTCTTTCGCACCCTCAAATTTTGCCACTGTGAAGTGGAATAAGATGTTCACAACAAGTGGATGAATGGATGCGGATGCCTTTATGGGTAGACCGTAGAGGCATGGGCATGGATGGATTCATTCACGGACGGATAGATTTATTCGGTATGTGCATGGATGGATGGATGGATGGACGGATTTGCTCGATTGTTGAAATAAGGGTGGTGTGGTGGCCCTGGTGGGTGCGTTTGGGCATATTTTATTATTGTGGCAGCCACTGCATCAGATCCTGCTCCTCTTCGATTGCTTGCGCCTACGTTTTAGTCAAAGATGTGAAGATGTGAACTTGGAAATTATCGTTGAAAATTTTGGAGAATTGTGAATTGTGATTAATTAATGATGAATCAACCCTACATGTTGAAAACAAATGCATGCACGTTTCTCCGTGTCGGTTTCGGTTTGCTTTCTCCTTCACGATGTTTACATGCCTTTTCTGTTCGTGACATCAAGTGAAAGAAAGTCACAGGCTTCCATCAGACTGATGTTCTCTTCTTCGCCGCCGAACATTTTTTCTCAGGCTTGTGTTCCTCTCTCTCTCTCTCTCTCTCTCTCTCGCGCGCGCGCGCGCTCTCGCTCTCTTTCTCTCTCCGTACTTTACTGGCCGGTGTCTTTTGCTGGCTGCCTGTGTGGGAAATGGGAATCGACGAGTTTGCATACGAGTGGAATTACCTTCCATAATGTGGGATGGATCTTGCGTCCTGTTGAACTGGTTTGTGCCTTTTGCTGTTTTCGGAAACGAACGAACGCCTTTTTCATCCCATGTCATTGCCATGCGGGGTCGACCTTGCGTCCTGTCGTTGGATTGGAATCCATGTCTCGGATCGGCGTCGTCTTCCGGGAACCAACTCCGTGGGGGGCCCAACAACTCGCATGTCATCATCGTGTGCTTTATCCTTGGGCTTTGGCTCGTGGGGTAAGTAGAGCGAAGAGTCGAGCAATAAGCTTGATTGAGCTTTCTAGAGTAATCGTTACGATGGGAAAACACGACGACGATAATCATGACACGGAAAACTCCCTGGTCGGGCAAGTGAATGCGTCGTATGTGACTCTCAAAGATGGTGTGAAGCAGCAGGAGCAGCACTGCTGCTGGAAATGTGGAGAAGACGAAGAGGACATGGACATCGGCATTGGCATCGACATCGGCTGTGTCGGCTCGGAGGAGCCTATTAGCGCGGTCGAGGGAGGTAATCAAGGTTTAGAATGGACTCTAGGTGAGATGGAGAAGAGTGGGTGGTGGAGGTAGGTGTTTTTTTTTACCTCTTGTGACTTGTCATGTTTTTTTTTTTTTTTTTTTTCACTATTCGGTTTTGAAATTTCTCTTCCCTTTTTCATCTCTTGCTTGTCAAACCCTTCTCAAATCACTCTCCTCTCTCTTCTCACGCGATGGCTATGCCGCTACGGTAACTTTTAAAATTACTATTCGGTTAGTAACTTTTAAAATTACTATTCGGTTAGTAACTTTTAAAATTATGATAAATAAATTATTGCAGCGGCTAACTGAGCTGGCCAACCTAAATTTCAATCCCTTGATGATTGATGCATCACTGAGAGGATCGGAATCATCGGATCGCTTCGCCATTTGAAAGTCCAAATACGATTGATACGATTGATATGTCTTTGTGTAATAAATGATTCAATTCAAGTGTAATGATTTTTGAATTGATTGGAATTCATTTCGCTTAGCAAAATGGAACGTTAAATGGACGTTGACAGTATTGTTATTTTTTATTTTTATTTTTTACTTTTTATTTTTATTTTTATTTTTATTTTTATGTTTTTTGGCCGGGATTATTGAGCAATGGCCATGTGTAACATCAGGTCAATTTTATTATGAATCTACTCTCTTTCTTAGTTTAGATTCTTTGCATCTTTTGATCGAGTTTGACGCCGAAAAAAGTTGAGAAAACCGGAGAGTGCGAGCAGCAGCAGCAGCAGCAGCATCGCTAAATAAATTCGTGTACGTCATCATCCCGAATCTGAAATAATGACTACAGGGAACAAACAGGCCCCATTTTTTCATCGGCAGAGTTGTGCAGACCCTAAATGAATCCGTACGTGGGTAGGACTTTGACATAACTTCACATAATGTCGTCGTGAGAAAGGCGCTTATCGTAATTCATATGTGGTCCCCACCTAACCTGGCAGTTGGGCTACTACTGTCGTCTGCCATGTACTGTTCACTTAGGAAGCTGCTGGTTGATTTGCGCAGTTGTTTATGAATGATGCTACCCCCTCCGACATGGACAAAAGGGGGCGGGGGTGGGGTGGGGGGTTCAAAGAAAAGGGGTTGCTGAGAAAATGTGCACACGACATTTTCTTCATGTATGTATACAGTTTTCCGTCTGAGTACGCACAGTGCAACCTAGTTAGTGTGATGCTATTTGGAACACGTACCAGGACTCCATTTACGCAGAATTCCAGGGCAATACAGTACTGAGTGACTGAGTGAGTGAATGAATGAATGAATGAATGGAAAATGGAAAATGGAAAATGGCTGGTGGGACCAGCAGCCAAAGAAGTAAGAAATGCGTCCGTAGCTGTTTGTTTTTAAATTGTTTCCATTTCGCGTGCAGGGGGAGTACGCCTCACTGCGGCCTCAGCGAAAGGAGGGTTGGGAGGTACTGGTCGTCAAACTCGTATTCTTTGTTCTGTTAATGTGCGGTCACTATATGCATATATATGCTGTTTTGTCAGAGTTTGTTTTCTTGTTGACTGTTTTGTCAGAGTTTGACCATCTTTTTTTTTTTTTTTTTTTTTTTTTTTTTTTT